CCCCCCCCCCCACACGTCTGTAATTTTTTGTATAAATTGTAAGGAGAATCAATTTATTATATGTATTTTCAAATTAATTCCCACACCTATTTTTAATTCGAGATAATAAAACTTTTGATTTCTAAGCTTTGCCCCAATTATCAATTTGATCAATTGAAGGGAAGTGTTTAATCAAAAGGCCCCCAAGTTTCAGGATCCTACACAATGCTGCTTATAACACCAGAACAACTTATCGTGGTCACTCTGTCGTACTCATCACCTGGCGCCAGTCTCCCATGAGCTTCATCCCTTTCATCCATTAGATTCTTCTTTGCATTATCCCAGCCTTACCTAATTTTAATTCACACACTTTTAGTTGGCCCAAACCAAAGTTCATATACTCGTATCTAGGTTGTTGAACCGACAGAATTGGCTCTAGCAGAAAGGATTAGTCTCCCACATGTTGAATCAAGATTTGAATCGCCGTCGGGAGAGGTATTCACATTTAATGCCCGACAATGTCTCGATTGTTTCTAATAGGAGAATATCTATACTTTAACAAAAAAAAATTCTGGTTGTTGCAATTGCAAAGATACGAACGAACACACCGACCCAGGCCAAAAAAACAAACACACCGATAGTTTCATGATGCCACATCATTGCTATCTGCGACTCGATTGCCACATGAATATTCTTTATTATTATTATTATTATTATTTGGAGTTCGCATAGTTAGATTATTTGGAAAAACACTGATAAAGTACAAGGGACAACGAGTAGTTTAGTACTAATTTTCGAACCGATCTATTTTAAAGGAAATGAATTAAAAATTAAAATTTTGAAAGAAAAAAAAGAGTAAAATACTAGCTCCGGTCATAATTATAAGACTCAGTTGACTAATTTGAAGAGATTAAAAAAAATTAAGTTAGTTATTTATAGTAAATAGGTGTTGTCTTTCTTAAAACATCCTTAAAAATCAATTATATTGACTAAAACTACAATTATTAAAAAGACTACCTTGAAAAAAAATGTATAAATATGAAAAACAAAATAGATTTGGATTTTATATTTAAAACTAAAATAAAAATCAAATAGAATCTTGTATTAAGAACCGGAAGTAGTATAAATATTAATTCTTTTGCTGATAAAGATTAATTCACAGTTCAAAACAAATTAGCATGTGGATCATGACTGATCCCTAAATTATGCATTCTTTTCTTTATTGAAACTATGAGTTTTCTCGAGTTAATAATTTTTCCTCTGAAAAATAACGAGCGTTTTAATCTAATTTGAAATAGCGTACCAAATACTCCCCTCCGGGAAGCTTTGAACTAAATTAAAGACTAAGGATTTTAGTTAAATTGATTCCACAGACTTTCCTTTTGATGCTGAGTTTGAGATCCCATGCGCATTGATTATAGACATAAGCTGCCATGAAGCTGCATTTTCTGCAGGTGCGTTCAGATAGATTCTTGGTGATCGAAAAATCTCCACTGGCGAGACAAACCATTAATAATGGCTAGTAACATATGATATGGTGGTGAGCGTAACCCCAATCTCAAGCATGAGTGTAAGATAAGGGCTTTAAACACCACTCATTCAATTTCAGGAGTCGATCAAGCACAATGCAATCTCAGTCAATTGCCCTGCTTATCCAAGATCCGAACTCCTCTTAATCTCACATCACAGAACAATCGACGATTCTATCTAACTCAAAAGCAAATCAGGTAGAGGGGCAGTGCTCATATTCTATGGGTGTAATCGTGTCTGTCATGCCATGGCTATAGCATTCAGAACGAGGAATTGTTTATAATCATAGCACCAAACCCTTCCTTCCATCATTCAATCAGATCAATAAACACAAAAACATGTGATTCGTCAAAACAAAACAAATCAAGACATGATATAAATGGAAAGATAACCCACCTTCGTGAAATTCTAATAAAGTTTGGAACCAAATATGAATTCGAATAAACCATAAAAGTCACAGGGGAATCGCAGGACCAGGGGCGAAGGAAAGAAGGAGGAACAAGGGCTCAGAAACTCAGATGAGACGCGGCTCCTTAACATATACGAGTATTTAAAGAACAGGTCTCACGCTTACTTAGCGCACTAGGGTTTGAAACCCTAGCCGCAAACGTATAAACCTCCCAGGCCCGCCTCACTTCAGCCCATTTATTAGGTTTTCGGCTTTTATAACCTTTTCAGCCCATTATATGTCATCGGCCTCAAAACGAGACCCCATACTTCAAGAGTCACCTCTTCTTTTCCTTCCAGCTCGATTTCCTTTCCCCCCCTCTTTTTAAGCTTTGCATGATAGATAATGTGTCTGTTTGGATCAGTAATTAAAAAAGTAATTTATTCTTAATTTAGCTTATAAAAAATAAAGTTAGGTAAAAATTAAATTAGATAAGTTGAATTGTGTTTGGATTGGAGTTCAGAAAAGTTTATTTGCAAGTGTGAGATTGATAAAGGGTTATTTGAATTATAGTTGAATAAAAATAAATTTGATTGTAAAATAACCAAAATGGGTATGAGTTTTAATAAATAATGAAACATGATTAAAAAAATGATTTCACATAATACAATAAAACTAAAATAATTTAATATGAAGAAGTCAAACTTAATGAGTGAATTAAATTTTAAAACTTTAGAGAAATCATAAAAAATATTTTAAATATAAAGTGAAATATGAAAAAATAAAAGTGTATTTTTAGGAGCATGTTTAAAAACAAAAGTATATTTCTAACTTATTTATTACTTTCAACTAATTTTAACTAATTTTTTGTTATCTACAAATTAGTTATTTGAGGCTTATAATAAGAATCAAAGGAGGTAATAAATTTCTTAACCTTTTTCTCCCTCCATGTTTCAAAAGTCATAAATCATATACTGTTAATTTTAGCTTATAACTTATTATAACTTTTCACACAAATGCCAGATTGCCCAATTGCCCATCCAAACAGCATCCAACTTTTCAATGGGCTTTTGTCCAATTTAAGCTGCTTTACACCTTTGAAAAACCCAACCAAACAGGCACAATAACTTAGAGAGTTTAATTAATAAAATGATGTTCAAATATTTAAAAACAATTTTTTGTACAAGGTACAATAAAACATGTAAACAAATAAAAAAACACAAAATATGAGAATTATCACAAATTTTAATTTTAATTTGGAAATAAAATTAAATAATTTCTAAATATAACAATAGTTTCACGCTTTCATTAAAATTTATTCAGTTTTAGCAAGGAAAATTGAACTCATTTAAAGCATCGTGATTTGCCATTTTTTAAGTTTAAAAAAGTTCCGGTCAAAAAAGGCTTTACATTTTTCTCACTCTACGAAAAAGAAATTATTTATTGTGAAACAAGAAAGAGCTGTTCTCTATCAGACAATAGAATTTCAATTTTCGCATCCTGAATTTTAAATAATGGGTGCCGTCATCTTTTTTAAAAAAGAATGTTTGGATACCAGCACAATGTCAAAATTGTGCGGTCTTTTTTTTCTTTCCAAGATTTGTCAAATCAACAATGGTAGTCCATGTGGTTTGATATTTATGCTCTGTGAACAAGTTTTTGAGTGTAAGCGTCTCCAAAGAAAATTATTAGTAGTACTATTTAAGAAAGTTTTATACTAATAGTCCAATTCAACTCAACTCTAATTAGTTACACTCTGATGCGTGTTTCGGAAAACAGTGTCTTCGAAAGAAGTTTACTACTGACTTGGTTTTCTACCTGCCAAAATTAAATGATACTACCTTTAATTCTAATTATAAGATCTTGTTAATAATAATGTTTTATAATTAAAACTGCACATAGTAATATTTATAAAAATATTGTGACAAACAAAATATTGTGGATCTAAAAATTCAATTTTGTTATCTAATTAAATCTTCATTTTTCACTTTTAAATAAACCAGATCATTAAAATAAATTGGTTTATGAGTTAAAATTATATGTTTTTCACATTTATTAAAACTATATATTTTTTAAAACATATCAATAGATCAGGGTAAATGGCCTTTTAGTTCATTCAAGAGGAGCTCTCATTTTGATCGATGCATGAATTTGCAGATATATATTTTTAATTAAATAAAGTCAAATCAAATCTCTTTCAAAAGCATACGTGTAAGCGGCAAGCTTGCGTAATGAATCAGATCAGAGCGTATAAGCCGAATGCTAGCTGTACACTCTTCAACTGTTGTGAAATAATGCTCGTTGAATATACGATCACGTATGTGTGAATTAAAATATATCAATATTAAAAGTGACATCTTTTTCATAAAAATTTCTCAGCGAAACCAACAACCATATGAATAAATTCACCCAGGACAAAATGTTCAACATCGTTGAATATTAAAAAGAAATCATTTTCAGTCATCAATGCAGGCACACCTAAATAAAGACCTTAATTAACAATAGTAGAAAAACTTTTGATGCATGTGTTAACTTTTTGCAATGAATATTATGGTTTGGCTTACAAAGGTTTGGGACTTATACAAAAATTAGCAAAAACGGGGAGTTATTATTAGGGGTGGTAGATATCCCACAAAACAAAAACAAAGCAAAGCTCATAAAACCCTGTTCTTGCGTATCACCCAAAAAAAAAAAAAAAACCTGTTCTTGTACCCAAGTTTTCACAACAATCGAAAGAGAATCCAAATTTATAACCATGTTCGCTAGATTTAAGAAACTACTTAGTTAATCCAAACGTTTCATTGTCATGGCCTAAGTAACTTGACCATATATAGTAATTCTCGAAGACTAATAGATGTAGAGATGCTCTTGGAGCAGCCTTTGAACTGGTCCAAGGTGCAGGAGGGGCGTGAATGAAATCTTGTACGAGAAGCATCCTTCTTACACGTGAAGTCATGAACCAAGTCAACCATCTTAAGTTTTTGTCTGACCTCTTTGTCTTGTAATATGTACACAAATTCTCGCATGCACCAGGTCTTCTTTACCTAACTTGTCCGTCCTTTTCTTTTCGCGTTTGTTTTCAAAGCCAATAACAAATTGCGCAGCCTCGTGTTCAAGTTGCTGTCCCTCTGAGTGTTGATGACGTTAAGACCAGTGAAGAGCCGATAAATATTTGTTATACATGCGTGTGTGTGTGTGTGTGTGTAAAGAAGGCTTTTCCCAATCAAAGCTCACCAAATAAATAGCAAAGCAAGTCTGGAACGCTTTTAATTTATTCCCAGCAGCCTCTGAAGCGATCGATGGACATGGATGAATCTACGACTAGTGATCCCCATGGAAACGTCCCCTTCTCGTGGGAGAAGAAGGCTGGTGTTTCCAAGGTCCATCAACCTGAGAGCCTCACAAGAGAGGAAGAGTTACTGCATAATCTACCACCTCCGCCGTGCACGACGGAAGTAGGCGGCGGCAAGATTAGCGGTGGTGTTCAAGATATTCAGAATATTCCACTGCCTCCATGTGCGTTTCAGCCTCCTGTCTACAGAACATCGTCGAAGAAGGGACTGTGGACGCAAGAGGTGGACGATCCTTTCTTGGCTGCTTACAAAGAGTGCACCAAAACTACTCGCAAAAGTAACGGCAACAATAAGAGCTGCGAATCGGTGTTAAGGAAGAGGGTTATTTCTATTTTCTCATGTAAGCGATCCTGCGCTGTTCGGGACAATAACTTGGTTAGGATCTCTCATGTCTCAGTCCCACACAACGTAGATAAACATTAATTGTGCAGATAAGTAACCTCTTCTTAATGATGTTTGTGAACTATGGTTTTTTGGCTTCTTGCTCCAGGGCCAAATCCCATTGGCTGGTCTACCCTTTCCTTCTGCTTCAACTAGAGAGTATTATAGAAAGGAGAATTTGTAAACAATATATTTAGATTATTCTTCATTTCACGACTCTTCCTGTTTCAATTACATTTTTTTGACAGGTGTAGGTTAGCACTAATTACCAGCTAGCTAGCATCACCAAAGCGGAGTAGTTCAAACTATATCCTGCGAGCATGCGTTCAGTTCGAGATTATACAATACAACCTTTATAGTTTATATGATATTTTTATTTTTCACATCAGTTTATTCATTTTCCAGAAATATTAATAATCGCGTCGAATTAAACTAATAATTGAAACACATATGGTTATTTCTGAATACATGTGGTGTGGAGGGCATTGATCAGTTTTTTTTTTTTTTTGAATTTTCATACGCGCGGTTTGACGATAACACGAGATGAAGAGAGAAATTAGAATTAACAATATTTCTAGTGCTTCTAAATAAAAATAAAAGAAGATAACAAAAGTATAATCTAGTTTTTATATGTCAATAAAATAAAAGAAGTAGAAGTGTACATGTTTTTCTCCCAAACTATTTGGTAAAAATCAAGGAACAAAAAACCGGACCGGGTATTAAACCGGTTGAGACAGTGGGTCAAGGGTTACTGGTCGGACCGAGGTCGGACCGGGGTCGGACCGGTCATATTAAAATAAAATAATTTAATTCATAATATTATGTATCTTGTTGATAAAAATGCAACCAGTAAAGGATATACTCCTCATCAATTGAATACGATGTATCTTGTTGACTCCATCTTAAAACTTTAAAAGTACTATCAATTGTGATTGAGGGGGGGCAGAAGCAAGAACGGTGAATGCTGTTTATAAGCTTATTTGTTGCGATGCCTTAACATTAATTTACTTACAGTTCCAAATTCCAATGCAAGGCAAGTATATTTTTGCCATAAATCATATCCTCTATCTCTCAACTAAAGATTTTTCTCTTGTTAAAATTAAAAACGAAAAAAGATACTTTTCCTAGGTACAATCTTTACATACGCAGCAGCGTAGGAAATAACCGGTTATCTCCTCCCTTCCCAAACCTTTCGTTCAACAGCAAAAGAGAAAGAAGGCACAATCCAGCTGAAAGGGAAAATATTTGAGCTTACCCACACACAACTTAATGCATCGAAGACGAAGGGAACGCTAACTTGCGATGAAGCGATTTTGGGGCTTAGACCTGCGGCAACTTGCGATGATTGCGATTTTGCATTTTGGGGCTCAGACCCTCAGACTTACGAGCTTAGATGGTTGAGGGAGACCGGAGATCAGACTTGCGAGATTGCGATTTTGGAGCTCTGCCGAACAAGGAGCTCTGCCAGAGATCGCCGTGCTGTCAGTGACGCCAGGGAGCAAGGATTTTGGAGGAGGTGATTTTGGTTTTAGGGAGGGAAGCGAGATGCTATTTTGCGAGCCAGAGGAAATGGGGAATCAGATATTCAGATTCGGGGGAGGGAAATAGGGGGAAGTCGACGGGAAAGGGAATTAGGAAAGGAAGAAGGAATTTTTTTTTTAAACGGAACCGGCTGACCCAGTGAACCGGGATTACCCGGTTTTGTACCGGTTATGACCGGTTCAACCGGTTCTTTACCGGTTCGATAGGATCCCGGTTCAACTCCTTAACCAGACCGGACTGCAGACCGGTTCACCGGTTTTCCGGTCGAACCGGCCGGTCCGGTCCGGTTTTTTTTCCCTTGGTAAAAATAAAAAAGGGGAACATTCTTGTGAGGGACAATCATATATAATTCAAAAGAAACCGTAAAAAGCAACACAAGAGGAGGCAGGTGCATGTGAAATTAGAGATTATTTGCTATTTTGCTCTCATGTCTGGTGCTTGAGATATCTCATTTATTTGTCTGATGCAGCTGATCGATTAATGTATCACGTTTGTTCGGAAATTCGGTTAGACAATATCCACAGGATATGAGGTTCCAATTCTTTAGTAGAAAAACGAAAAAGGAAAAGCAGAAATCCTGATAATGTTAACGACTTGACTTCTTTGCTGGCCAAATGGAAAAAAGGGGGAAAAAAAAAGGGAGGGTTGGGGGAAGACTTGACTTCTGATATCTGGCTAATCCGAAACAGAAACTGAATGCCGGTATCTTTCAAGTTTCATTTTTTTTCCTTCAATTTTTTTTTTTACTAAGTATAGTTATCTTCCCATTAGAGACAGTTTTATCTGAGACATTTTGAACACTAGATATAGGCAAAAATTCAAATCTGAGCTTGTCAGGTTGTGGAAGAACCGTGGAAGAACCAACTCCGGGTGGTTCTTTTGTTCAGTCTGATACAACTCAACATGCCTATATTCTCAGAGCAGTTTCCCCCCCCCCCCGGTACAGTATATTCTCAGAGCAGTTGATTTATGACGTCATCATACAATTTATGGACCCAAGCTCCGATGGGCCTTGGCCTGTTAAGGCATTACCTTATCCATATTTTTGGGCTATTCAACATATGTGTACATATCTGCCAGATCAAATCTTTTTCTTTTTGGGTCCAAATACTAGATCGAATTTTTATTAAAAAAAGCGTATATATTTAATGTTTGATAATGCTTCAAATAAGTTTCTCTCCACTCTAATAGGAGGTTAGCCATGTCCAGACAAAAATTCTATACTCAACAAGCTTCCTATGTCGACTAAGATACCGTTTGGATGTTTGCCCAAACCATGGTTTGGGTAAAAAACTGCCCAAACAGTCATCCCAAAAACCAAACCATGATTTTGGAAAAAGCAAAAATTTTTTGCTTTTGGAGAAAAAAGGGAGAGTGTGAGAGCCTATAGGATATGTATCTTGTTATTTTTTTTATAAACATATTTTTTTATAAACATATTTAATCTTATATTTTATAAATATATATACATATTAATTATTTATTAATTATATTATCTTATGTATTATTAATTATGTTGGTAAAAAATATATTATTAACAATTTTATTCTTTCAAATTAAAATATATCATAACATCTATTTTTCTGTAATTATCATATTAACTTATATCTTTTTTTTTAGTAATTTGTGTATATAAAAAGTGCTTCTGATAACAACTATCCAAACACTCTCACTTCTCAAAATCACTCCAGAATCACTTTTCCAAACCACGGTTTGGCTTCATCCAAACACACCCTAATACAATAGACATGGTAGTAGCTTGATTTTCAGTTTTTTACCCCAGATTATCAGATGAGGCAAAGATCAGAAAAATCGGAACTGAATGGGGAGGAAGGGGGCAAATAATGAAAGGATAAGGAAAGAGACTGAGGAAGGAATATTGAAGGGGTCATGGTAAGCAGATGGATGAAACAATTGGTGAGAATGTAGCCTTTTACGTGAAAGTCATGGTGTGCAAGAGGACTATAGTACAAGGAAAAGATAAAGAGAGGCAGTCATCAGAAGAGGCGCGATGGATGCGGGTTCTGAAACCTAACCAATCACACAGACAAGGCTATGATCGCAAGGGGGTCTGGAAAAAGGTACAAAGATTTTAACTCCATTTAGTTATGGATTACGACAAAGCAGCATTTGCATTATATGCTGATAATTGCTTCAATGATTGGAAACATGGGACGATGATTCCGCAATACCATTTTCTTTGGGATCAATGATTTACTTATACCTTTTTAAAAGTGATGTGGTCCTTACCATTCTACTCGAAATCCACAAGGACCCCAATCATGAAGCCGAATTGAGCGGCAGTGGGAATTTGCATTCAAATTGAAGTATATGCAAATATTTTACGGAGCCTGACCCATCTCCATGTAGTTGTATACGAATGAATTAACGCAGTGGAGTAGCGTGGTACTGAGTCTATGCGAGAGGAAAAAAGAATGAAAGCAGCAATTAATGAGCGGAGAAGTCATCATTTTGCCCCCACAGGAATTTTGAACTTGCTTGTAACTTTCGCTTTAAATGTTTGGAGATAAGGAGTGGAACACTCTTGGTCCTCTCTATAATTTGTCATCTGGTAGTTTAAATGTCGACATCCAACAGAATTATTGTGATTACACATTGTGGCTTTCATATTAATGGCGTCCGGTATGACGTTTTTTATGTGATTAGCTGCTGGTTTATCAGATAACTCTCATATTTCCAGAACCCTATGCGTGTTTACAATGACCGACACTGCCCTAACTGTCGTATCTTTGTTTTCATTATGATGATTACTAAGATAGAAGATCGGTAAATCAGAAGACTACTGTTCTACGATCTCCTATTAATTGGGGAAAAAAAAAAAAGAGCCCAATTTCGTTTGCTGTAAAATTTCCTTGCTTTTCAGTTTTTGATACTCAGTATAATATCTATGACTAAAACGACTACACGAGGACTTTTGGATGCAGGCGTTTAAAATGAAACTGACAAATGAGACCTGGACATTTTGAAAGGTGAGAAATGGGACACAAGGGTCTACAACTTAAAATTAACTGTTAGATAGATGGTGTGAAGATGTCAAGCATTTCTGATATAATTTCATTGTTGATGCAGTCCAAAACTGCATCAGCAACCTCAAAGCTAATATCCTTCACTTGTGGCTCAAAATCACCCCATTCATTGATTGATTTCAAGTAATCCGAAGTCAACAAGAATGTGAGGTTTGTCTGATCTCCAGCCTGTTGACCCCACTCTATCGTTTTCTGACAAATGAGGTTACCCAACTCCTCCGCCCCCAATAATTGTTTGTAACCTGTCTGTCCTTCGTCTGTTCCGGGAAAGCTAGCTGCAATCTCTCTCACGCAATCAAATAGGAGTTGCTTTGTCGTGTGCAATGCTCTTTTAGATTTCAACACTTGAGAAACATTTGTCCCAAGAATCTCTTGTAAGTCCATGCTATGTCCATCTCCCTCAGCTGACTGAATCAGCAATCCCCAGAGAGCAGCTGATAATAATGAGTCTTCTGTGATTTTCTTGGGCATAACAACTTCTCCGCAATTCAAAATTCTCTGTTCCGTTCTCCCAACATCATCCTTCACTCTTTCATCTGCCAAACAAGCTGACACATGTTACAAACATGGTTCAAAACAAAAGTAAAAAGGTTACACCTATGCTTGTGACATCTAATAATACTTACTATGTTGGGATAGTTGAACTTTGCGTGGGTGCATTCTTTCCAGTAAAGCCCGGCTGTGTTCTATGTATCTCCGGCGGTGTTTTCCATTACTAGTAGCCTGCTGGCTTTGTTATTGAGAGTAACCAAACTAATTAATATTTCTCCCCTAAAGTAGTAAGGTTCTATTGTTTTCAAGAATGAATAGCTTTTACTTAAGGTAAGTAAGAATTTGAGTTTGTACCTTGTCACCACAATATTGCAAGCATTTGAAGCTCTGCAAGTGTCTGAAATAAAAGAAGGCTTATCTTTATGTGATGATATCCAAGTCTCCTCTTCAACTTCTCCAATCTCCGAGCATGAGTTGAACGAAGTGGAGCTACTAGCAGATGAAAACCTGTCTGTTTCCGCAACCTTCTGATCAACCCTTTCAGTCTCAGGGACACTAACTGCATCTTCATCTCTATTATCAGAGTCTCTGGTTACAGGGGTTTCGCTGTGTGCAGGAAGCTTCTTGTATACAGATGTTAGAACTTTGGAAAATGAAAGAAGAGCCTTTCTCTTCTTGTTTGGCGCACAACTTGCTGACCTCTCCAGGCTCCTGGCTGAATCTCCAATGTTGACGCCATTGCCTCCTTGATCTTGAGTTAAGTTCCATTTTCTAGAACAACCTCTTTCGAAAAGGTAAAGCTCTAGGACGAATGGTTCTTGTTCCTCGTTCAGAAACTCACTAAGCTTCTTCTGTGGCTTAGAGGTTGAAGCCATAATGAGGGCAGGAATTTGAAGGGCTTGAAATTGGAATATATGGGGTGTACAGGAATAGAAGATGATGCTTGCAAAATTGGGTGGTTAAATGATGGCGTGATGATGTGTAGAGAAATAAATTTAGACGGCCAGCATACACCCGTCATATGAGATGTCATAAAGCTTGGGAATTTATTAAAATAGTCCTTGTAAGCTACAAGCTTTCCTCGTCTTGAAAAGGTTTTCAATTTCATTTTAAATGAATTGCACACAATTTTAGGGACCTCTCTTATTGATCTGAGTCCATATTAAATAACAATGGCCCCCCAGAAAAGAAAAATTGTCATATGTGTGGAGATCAACCGCAAGAACAATAGAGGTGATTGGAACAGAGACAGAGACTTGCACTTACGGTGAAGTTCAACTAACATGGTTTTTGAGCCTCTAGCTATTGGTGCCATCGTAATACAAATCCACTTAACTTGTTGATAATTTTTGATACAGAAATTTCATACCTAATCGAAACATATCGTGTTTTTAATAACCAAAAAAAATGTACTCTTCCTTTTACTCGGTACGCTTTATCGTGTGTGAGATAGTATTGCTTGTATATGGATGAGATAATTACTCAGTGAAAGTTAAACCGTCTGGGTCTAATGGCGCATAGTATGGCTAAGAAGGGAGAAAGGAAAAGTCGTGTGAAGAGTGGACATCGTTGATTGGAGGCGGGGATGGCTAAAGAAAATGATTAGATACATAATGCAATAGCAACATTTCTGGTTTTTTTTTTTTTAAATTAGAGGAACTGGCACAAATCACTTAAAGGTACAAATAAGATCAAATCTACAGCCCACTTGTAGAGAAATTTTCATGCCATTAGGCTACAAGTCCGTTAACAAATTTTTGGTTAAAAACTTATTTTGCAGCGCAGGTAGGGAAAGGAATGAACATAGAACAAGGACAAAGGGAAAGTAGATTGGACAATTATGCGGGCTTTTTTAGTCTCTTTAAGCAGGATTGGTGGAGTTGGTTGGAATGAAATTCACGTATAAATAGGAGCAATGCAATTATGACTTCATAATTTTTAATCATATGTAATCTCTAATAAATGATTTCAAAACGAATTGCAACCACTGATTTTCAATTCTCAGCTTGCAATCAAACTTCAAAGTCTCGTTGGGGATTCTCAGCTGTCTGTATCATCCTCATCAATTCTGTCGTGGAGTTCCCTAATTTGATTAGGAGCTTAAGGGATCATAATCTTAAGATTCGAACAACGTATGAAATATGAAGCCGTTGCTGTTGATAACAAGGATTTAGGGGGAAAAAATTTAATCGAGAGGGGTATATGCATGCTATGATTTTAGCATCCCGAGGAGATTAGATTCTGTAGTTAATCGTCGAGTTTATTCCTTCTGCCTTGCCTTGCACGATTGCCCAGGTATAAATTCTGAGTTTTGACTTCTTTGGTATTTATTGCTGTTTTCTGATGTAGTTTTTAAATCATCCTCCTCTGTCTTTTATTATAAACAACTATACTAAAAAGGTAATTAAAAATAATAAATGGATAAAAATTAAATTTTTTTTAAAAATACTCTTATTTATAAAGGGAAGAGAGTATAAGAAGGAAACTAAAAAAAATTATTATAATAAAGAGAATTATGAATGAGAATGAATGTGTGGTGAAGAGAGATGATTGTTTAGAAAATGAGATAATAAATACATTAAATATTAAAATAAATAATTAATGTGATAAAAATTTAATATAACTTGTAAATATTGTTTATATTTAGAGATAAAAAAATGATAGTTATTAGTTATAAAAAAAGAGAAGGGGAGTAACTTATCTTAAACGGCAACGATCAGTCTGCAAAACTAGAAATGCAGAATAAAAGTGTTGGAGCCAAAGACACTCACGTTTCCTGCCAATGATAGACGTCACACTTTTTCCTCAATTTAAGACGATGGAGGGTGTGTCAACAGTGATATTAAATATTATTTCTGATTCCTAATACACAATATTATTTAATTTTTATTTTAATTTTAAATATAAAATTTCTATTTACTTTGTCTTTTATATTTATATTTTTTTAGATAATCCTTCTAATAATAGTAGCTCTAACATTTGATTAACAAAGATATTTTAAAAAAATAATATCTATTTATTACAAATAACTAACTTAACTTATTTTTATAATTTTTTTAAATTAATTAACTAGCTCTTATATTTAAAAGCGAAGATAGTACAAGATATCAAAGCTTCTATAAATCATATCGCCTGTAATTAACTGATGCAATTTACAATATCTAAAATTATTTTTTAAAAATGACCTTACGCTTGTCAGCGAACATTTTTATACCATCAATAATGAGCCAATCAATAAAAATCACAAGTACGCTAATTTGCTGAACAGTTTTGATTGTTAACTAAATAATAAACAAGCCTAATTAATATGACTAATACTTCACTAATCCTTATTACTTTTTTCTTTTGGGGCCAACTGTTATATTTTGTCACCAATGCTAATTGAACTCTATTTACACTTTTCATTTTAGGAGATGGGTGTCCCTAAATTGAACCGCCTAGGTCCGTCACTGCGTGGGGTAATTTCTTCAAAATATATGCCAACCCACGTTCAATAAGAAATTCAGAATAGCTATGCTGTAAAACCAGTGGACTGCTTGTGAAGAGTCTACACAAGGAACAGGACAAGATAGTGAGACACAGAACTAAAGATTTCTTTGATGTTTCTTGATGTGCACAGCCTTCTCACTATAATCTAACAACACCTGGATAAAACTATTAGTCACAATATATATTCGTTAAATTACTAGTTCAAGAAAACAATGAGGCGAAACAGAGTTGATACCATGGTCATGCCCCTTGAACCTAACTAGTTGCAATAAACTAAATGAATCAGTGAGGCTAGGACCTAAAATCTAAATAAATATTTCGTGACAGTACAAGGTTAATCTACAATACATAAGAAACAGAAGGCACAAAGGCATTGCCCGTTTACTACGTAACTAGTCTTGAAACCCAAGAGATTTGGGTACTGAGATTGTAGTCTGAGCTCTTAATTTCTCAACCTTGCTCCTAAATTCGTCGTGGAAGGACATGAGTGATCTCTGACGGGAGGCAAAAGCTGCAGTGAACTGCTTAAGCTCTCCTTCGAGATGTTTTCTTTTCAGTACTTCGGTATTCAAGTCCTTCAAGGCATTTTCCTTTTGGTTTGAAACCATTTCAAGTCTATGGGATGAGTCATAGACTATCGGGAGCAAAGAGTCTCTTTCCTCTTTTATAAGTAGAAACTCCTTTTCCAGGCTATTATATTTATCTTTTGAAGCCTCCAGGAGGCGATTATTGATACTAACCTCTTCCTCTAAGCCCCGGCACCTTTCTTTGATGGAGTTGAGTTCATCGCACAGCGTCTCCTTTGAAATAGAAGTTTCTCCCAAATCAGAGCCCTTCGTCAAAAAGAAAATTAGTTTAAGAAAATCAATAACCTACTATGCTTTTCCTCAAATTCTATCAAGAATGCAGCTCTATCATTTAACCTACGATACTCTTCAAAAAACCGAGTGCACGCAACAGTTCGCACATGGGTGATATTATACTAAAACCTTAAGTCTGCATGTAGCTTCTTGCTGCATAAGATTTCATCCCTCTTTCTGGAAACTAAGAACCTTCCCTATCCTGAACTGTAGTTCTTTGGTCACAGTCATTTTAAAAAAAGGTTCAGTGGCTTTCTGAAGACACTAATTTAAACCCTATCCAGTGAATGCCTATGAGCTGTCCCCACGTAACAGATCATATTCAATAAAGTTCACTATGACGGTGATGATTGGTTATGACGGACTGTATGCCACAGAAGAGAGCTATTCACCAGATGCAGCAAATGAATCCTCGTACCATTCATTTAACGTTTCTTTGAAAAAAGTCGCGACTACATGTGAATAATCCACAATATGGGTAAGCTTTTTTCTAATATGAAGAGTACGTTTTATTTTACAAGGGCACCATGAGAGGCTTCTCATTAACCTCCATGGATTATTTCCTACAAGTTACATCAAGTATTGACATTCCTCAAGAAATAACTAAAATGAGGAAACAATGAATTCCATTGGATCGTAAAGATATAGAATGAAATGTATGAGGAACTACTACGTTTATTGAGTATTAGTTTAACATAAGCTATTCGACTGATGCCAGTCCTGGCCTCAGGTGTTAAGTGTATGATTCACATTTAAGGCATCAAAATTCTGAAAAAGGACATAAAATATCCCAAACACAAGGCAGAGAATGCTAGCATAATGAATGATTGGTATCTTGATATTTGTGGCCAGACAACTACCTTAAGTTTGCAGCGGCAACAAGGACTCCTCACTTGTTCCTTCTCAGCGATTGTGCTGTCTGATGATTCCAATGACGTGATTATAGTATTCAGCCTCTCATGAAGCTGTTTTTGTTGTTCGCGGATCAAAGCACCTTTCCCGGAAGACCTGCCATCACACATGTCTACTGTAAAATGAGCTTCTAAAGCATCAATAGCTGCGCTCCTATTTCACTCATGGTCGAAAGCACTTCCGCAGCCGATAATTTGCCATCTGATACACATCTCTGTTTAAAATACAGAAGACACTTAATTTTCTTTCTCTGGAAAATCGGGCCAAATAAAGGTTTAAAGAAACTGATTTGTTGCAGCTTTAACCTGCAATACTGACAAAACTTCCTCAAAGTTGCCTTCGAAGTTTCCCACGGATTTAGTTAACCTCTGAGGATCTTCCCCTTCTCGTTGATGTTCAGGTGTTATAGATATTGATTGCTTGTTCGGTTCCGCTTCCTCCGAATTCTTCTCTAGAAGCACATGCATTAACATCAGCCCACAACAAGGGAGTGATTAGTCAGACAAAGACTCAAAATGCAAAGGCCTCTTTGTAGATATAGATTCCATTTTTCCCGATTCAAGTATGAAGCAAGCACAAGATGTGTTTTCTGTTGGCTGAAAATTATGCTTTATATTCTATGCCTCGAAACACCACCACGTTGGACATATTATAGTAGCACAACTGCCGTGTTTAATTGTCATGTTCATAGTTGAAATTAGTAGTTCACTGTCGGAGCATTA